AGCACCATGTCTTTGTGCTTGAGTCCGGCCTGAGGACTTTGTCCACATCACAAGTAATGTTGTCTTTTTTGCTAGACAAAGAGAAAAAACTCTCTGGTCTGACAGATCCAGCCTTCGTAACATTCTCTAAACCTTACTCTTTCTCTCCTCATCCTCTTCCTCCTCATCCTCCACTTCTTACATGCGCTTCCTCCTCTCCTTCTCAGTGAGAATTTGGTTCAGAGATTGGGGTTTAGTGTTTTAGCAATTCAGAACAACTGTAAGACACTAATACAGGGTGTGAATGTGCAAACGTGCAAGTACTGTGTGTAATGTACATGCATATGATATTCACAAAATAATAGACTACAGTGTACAATATAGGCCTACACATTATCATTCAACAGAAATGAAGCTGTACAATTGTACATCATGATATGCAATACAGGCTTTGTGTGTGTGTGTGTGTGTTGTTGTTGTTGTTGTTACGTTCCCGTTCCCCAGTCTAGGGTTGGGAGTGGGAGTAACAGGTTAACTAAAACTCATAAGGAAGAAATAAATAAAACGTGGAGGAATCACTCCAATCCTCTGCCCCAGAACTGCAGCAACCACTTAGTTTGGCAAACTTAAACAATTTATTTAGAACAACAAGTAGAAGGATGTAGCTTGCGCCAACAGTCCTACACAGAAGCAGCTCCGGGCTGATGACATATGAGTTCAGCGTTGTGCATGCGCCGGTGAGTCTCGTGAAAACCAACATTTATTAACAGGAGCAAATGAAGCAAAGTTTCCTTACTTTAGCAAAGGAAAACCAGAAGATCAAAGACAATTTTTAATATAACTCTCTGGCTGTATTTGTCTGAAAGAAGAAAGTCATATACACCTAGGATGACTTGAGGGTGAGTAATTTGTGGGCTAATTTTCATTTTTGGGTGAACTAACCCTTTAAGGGTGGACACTCAGGCTTAGGCTTTGAGAGCAGGTTGGAAGAGCCAAACCTGTTAATTCGAAGGGGATGTCTATATGTGTCAGTTTGACCATAATTTGTAGCGTTCATACTGAATTCTCTAATTGCGACATTGCTGAGATCTCATTACTGTCTAGGAGGAGAGACAATTATATATCATCCCATAGTGGCCTGAAAATAATTTCTTCTGGCATCCAATGGTGAAGGCTCAGTCAGCGATTTTTACATATTCAGGATTTAGATCTGCAAACCCATAAATATCCCAATAAATGAATTCCAAAGCATCGGCCCAAATGCAGAATGGGATTGCTGGTATGGAAGCTTTGTATGCAGAGAGCGAGTTCTCCTTATTAAATGACGAATCACCTCTGATTTCTTATAGTTGTGCACTTAGAGGTATCTTAAAAAAGATCGATTTGATGTAAATGTTCTGTACCTGGGTTCTTGTTTGTGCTGATGAAAAGCATTATTGGATTTTGCACAAAGGTTTTCTTTTTTTTTTTAGAGAAGATCTAAGAGTGGCCGTTAATGAGAACTAGAGCCTGACTCAGTACTTGTGGATAACAAATGGACTGAACTCTGCCTGTGTGTACAAGTAAAAGTGTGCGTGATGGGGTTCATATGTATTTTCTCCACTTGGAGAGCCAGTTTGCAGAACCTCTGCATAATTCAGCAGGAGGATCTTGTTATACAATCCTGTCGTAATAAGAAGATCCTGTTAAAAAAATCAGTCATAGCCACAGTGAAATATTGATGACCTAAATGCTTTTAAATGCAAACCTTCAAAATCATTTTCCTGGTATCAAACTCTCAAGCTCCCCATGTGGGCACACAGCCCTCAGTGATCATGAACAGAGAATACCGTATGAGTTTGATGGCTGTTAATTGGTCATTGTATGTGGAAAGGCAGGCATTGGATTGAAAACTATTGCATTTAGCCACATTAGTAACCCCACACCATTTATATTATGAATATGAATGATGCTTCAGAAAATGTAGTTTGTTGAAGAGATGTGTACCATTACTTTTCTGTGCATTCAGAGAATGTAGACTAAGCCATATGTAGCAACCAGAATATCATTGGCTTTGTTAATGTGCAGGGTCATCCTGTTTTCGTCAAACTACTATACACGCTAGCCAGATCTGATTTTTTTTTTTTTTTCTGGTCAGAATGGTTTTGCTAGAATGTCCACATTGATTGCCAGCATGTGCAGGTTCACCATCAGACTGGTGATAGATGATTGATGCACTTGCATTGTTCTTCAAATCTTACAACTACATTAAAATAATTATAACTGCAGATAACATAATATTAATGAAAAAGGCCACTTAACGATAGTACACTTTCATGACTATAGTCAAAGACTTTAAATACACTTATATTTGTTATTAATGGGAGAAAGTGCAACATGCAATATGGCAGAATAGCCCCGCCTTCTAAATAAAAGAGACAATCACTAAATAGTAAATCACATCACTGCAGCTGCAGCTATAGAAACAGACAGTGTCCTGAGACGCAGTGTCGGCGCTACAGGGGGGTCCGGCCCGGCCACCTAGGTCACTGAGCACACCAGGCCCCCTCTAGAAAATGCAAATGCCCAGTTTGCTTGGGCTGGCGCCAACTCTGCTGAGATGCGTGCTTTGACTAAGACTTTGCTAGTGCACTTTGTAATAGTGTCAAATTAAACATTTTACTTTAAAGTACATTTTAAATCATTATGTTTTAATAATTTTTATCATGCTTAAGTAGAAGCAAGCTTATTTTAATGTGTTGACTAACATACTAAAGCACATGTAAAATGTTAAATGTAGTGTGATATTACATTTAAAGTTCATATTTTTACATTTTACATACATACATTTTAAATGTACTAAATCATTACACATGTGTAAATGCAAATATATTTAAATACATAACATACAAGTTTCAATAGAGATTACATTATTTTAGTTTACCATAAATGCTTGTCATTACATTTGGCAGAATATTTTAACCGTATTTCAAAGACAATAATAATTATAAAATTATATGTACAGATGTACTTAAGTGGGTCAAAATAAGACAACTGAATTTAATATTTATAATACTTAATTTAATATAAATATAACAATTTTCATTTGATTTTAAATAACATTAGGTGTTTGACATTACATTTAGTTTGTACTTAAGTATTCTATTTCCGTAATAAGTATTCATAAAAAAGTATATAAAGTCTACTTCTTTTCAACAAGGGTATCTAATTCTAAACATATTTTAAAGGGTGGCATATTCAATGTTTAATGCTGTCACTTCAGGTACAACAGTTGAAAGTTTTCCTCTGGACTTTTGACAAGTACAGTTGACTAACTAACTTCAGATTGTTTGCTTAGAGACACATTTGACACACTCTGTGTTTTTTTACACCCTATACTTGCCCGTCAATACACAAATGCAGTACCTGTTTTTAAGCATAAACGGTGTTGTTCTTTTTGTTGCAACACCTGTATTAATAACCTGACACATAATGAATGATGAAAATAACACATCAAATCTGATGGAAACAGTCATTCAGCATAAATTTCAGTTGGCTATGGCAAAAAAACACATTTTGTTTTCTGCCTGTGTGAACATATAGTGGCCATAGAAGCTTGAGGGTTGACTATTTTTGACCTGGGCCTGTAAACAACCACCTAACAACCAACAGCACAAACAATGCATTAAGCAATCACCCACAATACCCTAGTAACTGCACAGAACACCTAGCATATGATGATGCAATGCTATCACCTATTCATTTATTCATTTACAGATTGTTTCAAAGCAGTTTCACATAATTACAATTCTCAGTTATAAATCTTAACTATTTCTGTTAGCTTTTAAATAATATGGTTTTAACCCAGTTTCTATCTGATTATAATACAGTTCATTCACATTCATGAGCCTGTGAGTCAGTTCAACAAGCTGTGAATGGTCATGTGTTACTGGGGCATTATGTAGATGCCCCTTTACAATGCGAATTAATAGCTGACTTGTATTGTCATTGTCTCACTGATGAATAAAGTCTTAGATTGTGAGTAAGTGTAAAAACATTGCCTCTCGTCCTTCAGAGGGCTGGTGTGCTGCCTGTAACTGTAGACTTAACAACAATGGTCCATTTAGCCTCATAGTTGACATCTGAGAAGGTCCAAGACCTCTTCTGCTAACCAGCCAGAGCACAGGTGGTTAGACAACACCAAAGAACTGGATAGAGAGCCAATGAAGGGAAAAACAATTTCAGAGCAAAATTTCAGGTGTTTAGCATACCACACAGCTCTATGATCTTATGCAGTATTTCATTAAACTGGAAATTATTTGAGCACTTGGCATTTTTACTTGGTAAAAATGCTGCCCAGCACACCCGACATTCAAAACAAGGTAAGATGAACCTTTGCTTCTCAGGTTTACAGTGTCTGTCGACAGAGTAGCATCCATTGTTAGTGTTACTTAGAATGTATTAACGTTTAACAATTTTCTCTTTCCAATTTATGAACACATAATTAATGGCAACAAATCCAAAAAGAAGCAAATTACATTGAAGGCATAAAGCTTCTCAAAAAAGAAAATTGCCCATTTAGTAAGGTTGTCATGTTTGTTTGTTTATTTAGTTATTAATAGTATTGAGTGAAATATATTCTTTTTGGGGGGACTGTTTAAAAAGCAGCAATAAAATTCAATGGAAAAATGAAGTGCATGCATAAAATGAATCCTCTAGTGTTCACCTGCAAGTAGCACAGAACTCATTTAGATTTTTTTTAGGTAGTTTTAATAATTGTTTTAACTTGTCTTCCATTGTGGTACTTCATGATCAAAAAATTCCAGAGACTTTACATCCAGAATTCACAAGCTCTCAAAAAATGTTGAATGATTCTGATTATGTTGTATTTGCGAAAAAATCACTTGAACATAGTAACGCGCCACTCTGTTTTGGCATGAGCTGTCATGTTCATTTGCAGATTGATGCTCTCTGCTCATCTGGAAAATTTTCCTCCGCTAAGGTTATCCTTTTATTTGTCTTGTGTGCTGCGTTGCTATGTGACGGCTGGCGTTCAGGCTTTATCATTCATTTCCAGTTGTTTTGGCAGTCATGGTTGAGGAAACACTGATCTGTCATTCCCACACTAAATGATCACTCCCATTAGCTACACTGGTCAGTTGCTATGTATGCTTCTGCTTGCCCAGGCTTGTTAGCCCCTGTTTGCTGTGGCATTTGACTCTACACTGGACTATAAATCTTTCCCCTTTTCCCCTACTGTCATCTAGATGGCTTCACTTAATTTCAGAGTCTGTTACCAGTGTCAGACATGCTTCTTTGGCAGTCATTTATCTCACAGTTTTGGACAAAGCAACAGCACATTTTAGAGGAACAGACCTCTTGTCAGAAGAGGTCAAAGGAGTGAAGGGGTTATTATATCTATGTGTTGAGCATTTTCCTCATTCCTCACAAAAGCAGTCTCAGCATACTGAAGTCTCTCCTCCATTGACATCTATTTGAAAAAAATCCTCTTGTCTCATTCCCAGTCTACTGCTGTGTTACACTGTGTTTTTATTTATTATTATTTTGTAAAAAATTTTTTGCTAACCTCGGAGGCTCGCCTTATAGGGGCTCTGCCTGTAGTGTTTCACTGTTGATGCCATGGACTCCAAAATATGACGATACCGTTGTGAGGGACTACCTTTCTGAAATATAAGAGGCAGCTGTATATAAAAACCTGGGCCCGTACAAAACCGACAAAACCTTTTATCTTACCACTAAGAGTTCTCCTAAATAGCAGTAAAAGTTTTTAGCTAAGAGTTTTCTCTTAAAACCTATTCACAAAGCTGCTGAGACAAACTTTTACTAAGGAATAGAGAGACGTCTTAAGCTAAGAGTAAGGGCGGGGTTGACCTGGTTGCTATGGATGATGTCCGCATACTTACACTCTAAAAAATGCTGGGTTAAATACAACCCAGTGCTGGGTAAAATAGGGACAAACCCAGTAATTGGGCTGTTTTGACCCAGCGGTTGGGTTAAATGTTTAACCCAACCTTCTGGGTAATAACCCAACCACTGGGTCAAAACAGCCCAATTGCTGGGTTTGTCTGTATTTTACCCAGCACTGGGTTGTATTTAACCCAGCATTTTTTAGAGTGTACAAAGTGTGCAAACAGTGATTGGCTGATAGGGGTCTCTGTCAGAGATTTATTCATAGAAATATTGTAGAGTGCAATATTATGTTGCCATATTCAAATAAAGGTTTAAAAATGCAGGCTAAGTGTCACTAATTAAACAAGTATATGTTCAGCTAATTGTCAGCCTCTTACATGTGTGCTTCTCGTAAACAATTAGTGAATATGCATATGAACAGCCTTTTAATTAACAGAGTAGAATAATAATGGCTGATAGTAAGACATGAAAATGTAAAAGAAAACCAAACTGGATGCAAGAACAGCTGTTACTTCTTGCCCAACTTGTTAATGAAAACAAGGATATAATCAAAGGAAAATTTGGAGTTGGGATAACCTCCAAAACCAAAAAAATAAAAAAATAATGCGTGCATGCATGGGAAAACATATGTGTGCCAATAAATGCAGTGTGTTTCTAAAATATTTATGTTTCAAGGCAGATTGCTGGCAACAGCCATTTTAGCCCGGCTGAAAAAAGCTATAGAAACCATCACAGAATCTGAATGGTTTTACTGGTTATAATGGGAATTGTACTGGTTTTAATGGTAACTGTAATGGTGCCTGTTGGTCTCTACTGGTAATTGGTCGCCTTCTATTGTTGGCTTGTTAAAACCACTAATAGAACATGTCCCAAAACAAAACATTTTTTTAAATTAGTTTAATGGTTAAAAGTTGATAGTTTGTAATGTTTGTAATGGTATTTGTAGTGTAAACCATTAGAATTTCTGTGATGGTTTCTATTGTTTTCTTCAGCAGGGAGGATAGGCCTAGTTTGTGGTTTGGTCTTAGTGACTTAGGAGTCCTCTTCACTACTCCTAACGTTCCACAGATTTAGGAGCTAGTTTTAGCGCTAAAATACTTTGTGAAATACTCTTAGAGCAAAAATGTAAGTCCTAAATTTAGGATTGACATGCCACATTATTTTTAAGATTTTCTCCTAAATCGGCAAAGTTATGAGCTACTTTTAGCCTTAAGATGTTTTGTGAATATGGGCCCTGGTTTATACAGTGAAAACAAAAATATTATTAATATGTGTAAATATTATAAAGACAATATTTTGTTACCATTGACAGAAAAGTAAAAAGTAAAACTATGGCTGTCAGTAGAATAAAATAATTGTGTTTAATCGTATGATTTATAACAAGTCTTTAAAAATCACCAATAATGTTACATTATGTAAATGATAACTTTTTTAATGTATTTTATTTAATATGATCATATATA